TATATAAATCTATAATTCACCACCAGCTGAAACAGAGCGAGATGACATCAGAACCCCAGGTCTCTGGGTTCCAGAAATCAGGCTGTAAGTGGAACATAACAGTAAATACACAGAACCTGGGTTTGAACCAAGGCCAGGCCTTACAATGCAAAACTGCCAATAGAACCCTATGTTGTTGTACAGAATGAGCAAACTCAAAGTCATGCTTAAGTAAACTTTCAGTCACCATCAGACCCACAGTACATAGTCACCTGCCACTCAGGAGCAAGGACAACTTATCAATGGGCGTTTTGCCTTCTACTGCAAAGACCTGGCCCTTCTCCAGGGTGCAGACAGATCCATCACTGGAGGCCACTATCTTCTTAAAATATGTCAGAGACACACCAAGTTTCTTAAACTTCAGGTTGTAAAGTTCCTGGAAGTCCTTGTCAAATGACAGTCTCCTCAGTCTGTAGGAAATTAGCAGAGCCTGACCCAAACACACTCCAAACAGGGCCAGACTCCAGAGGAAGGAGTCCGTGGTGCAGGGGTCCGACCAGGCCCACAGGGTGCAGCAGAAGAAGCCCAGAGTCAGGAAGGTGAACATGTACAGAACTCCATAGAAGCCGCTGCCACCCATCAAGCCCAGGAACAGGAGAATGTTGGAGAGGTGGAACACCGAACCCTCCGAACCATCCCTCCACTGCTCACACAGTGGGAAACCCGAGCCTGCTGGTTCGGATGTAAAGTTCAAGGATCCAAAATCCAGAGGCTCCATGGTGGGGAAAATCAATCCGAACTGCAGCGCATTTCACAGACAGGGAGAGTCTACCAAGCAGAACAGAAGTGCAATCCACTGCCTGGAGCTCATCAGACCTGACCCGGATCTGTCAGAGTCTGATTTCCTCATGTACAGCTGCTGGGGGGTCCACGGAGAGACAGAGTCTGATAGACTACAACACAGAAACTACAACCTCTCTCTCTCTCTCTCTCTCTCTCTCTCTCTCTCTCTCTCTCTCCCACATACACCCCCACACACACACAGATGAATCCAGTGTCTGAAGTATAAATGAAGAGCGTTGCTTTTTAAAATAAAAAGCCTAAAGCATACATTAAAAGAATCCGTTTTGCCTGACGCTTTTCATGTCAGAGTTGATCTTTATTCATAGTTGATTTTTTTCCAACTGATTGTCAGTCTGTACCAGTTTGTATTTTTATACACACACATTTGTAAATTGGCCCATCTGTTGGTATTTTGTACTCCCTAATTCCCTTCTTGTACGCATTGTAGGCATTTTGCGGTATTATGCACCCACTGATTCGCAATTTGTACCCACCATTTGGCTTTTTGTAGTCACAGGTTGGTGTTTTGTATACTTAATGGCATTTTGCGTTTCCGTTTCCACGATTTTGCATTTCTGTGTTATGCACCCAGACTGGCTGTCTTTACTACCCGGTTGGCATATTGTACTAACAGGATTACCACGTTGCATCCATGCACTTACCATACGCAGACATCACATATATGTAGAGCTGAGTGGGACTCACCAAGCCATTTTAGTTGGTCCACCAGCAGTTGTCATGATTGTAATCTCCTGTTATCCTATAGTAACACTGTATTTCAACTTATAGTCATTCTATACATTTATATATAT